AGTCCTGCCCCTAATTGGCAGGAGGACTGTCCATTGAAGGTGTTGAGACACACAGATGGACTGACAGCATCCCCAGTGTCATGTTTTATAGGACAGACTGACAAATCTAATCAACTCTGGGAACATAGACAGCGTGGGTCAATATTGTAAAGCTTTCAGAGTGAGTGTGTGTGAGTGTGTATGTGTGAGGGTGAGTATATGAGTGAGAGTGTGAGTGTATGTGTGAGTGTGCCTGTGGGTGGGTGAGTGTGTGAGTGTGCCTGTTTGTATGTCTGTTTCTGTAACTGTGTCTGTACATTCCAAAGCATGTATTTGGAGATGAAAGGATTCCTTGTTCTCTCCTTCTACCATATGGGTCTTGGGGACTGAGCTCAAGTCAGGCTCGGTGGCCCCTACAAACTTTTTTGTTTTGTTTTATTTTATGCAGTTACATAACCACCACCCAGCTCAAGAAATAGAATACTTCTTTCTAGAAGGCTCCCCAGGTTCCTTCCTATCTACTAAGAGTACAGCCTCATTTTGTCTGTTATCACTGTTGGTCAGCTTTACCTGTTCTGAATTTCAGACAAAGGGAGCCGAGGAGCCCTTGCCTCTTGGGTTTATCGTTCGGATGTGGGATTCCCCTGCATTTTTGATGTAGTTTGACTTGCATTGTGTTTTTTTGACTTATTGCTCCAACATATCCCATTGCATCAAGACACATTATTCGTTTTGCTCTGAGCAACACGAAGGCTTCAATGCAATGTCGTTTTCAGAGTGTCACTGTAAGCTAGCGCACAGTTTGTTGAATGAAAGAACAGGTGTATTTGTGTTCTAACCATTAGTGAAGTTTAACCAAGGCTGGGTTTTAACCATACAGTGGTCATGACATTCATGGACTGCCTACTCCTCACTCTGGGAATCTCTGTGAAGAGCAATCACTCATGAAAAGCTCTGGGGAGGACCTTCCTACTCACAAACAGTCTAGAACATGGCCCTTGCTCTGGTAAGGCCACAGCACTCAAACAGTTATCACAGCCCTTGTCCTGATCCTGGGTTGGCTCAAACCCGTGATGTGATTCCTTGGTCTTTCTTTGGGAGAAGGGATGAAGGCCCTTTTGCAGCAAGTAGCCTAAGGCAATGCTTGCAGTAGGAGGGACATGTCCAGGCCACCATGAGAAGACTGGATCTCAGAGCTTTGCAGTGTGACCATGACCACCCCACTGCCCTCTCTGAGCCTTGCCTTCCCATTTCTGCACTAATGGACTCGTGTTTGCCTTTTCCAGAGATGGTAGTGGGAGTCCATGGCTGCTGGAGCCTAACACTGCCTTCCCAGAATGGTTTTTGCTTGGGGATATTTAGCCTAGCTTTCTACAGAGGAGGCTAACCCCACCTCCCTACACACACACACACACACACACACACACACACACACACACACACACACACACACTCTGCCCTGGCCCCTGTCTTTGATGGTAACATGTGAAATCAGGAAGCGGCTAGCTCTTGAGTGAAGTTGTATCGAAATGAATCCATCAAGACAAATGGGATCTTGATTTTCTCTCTGTTTCCTGGTTACTGTTTCCTGAGTGGAAGCGTAGAGGGTGACGGGTGCTTTCAATAGAAAACGAAGTGAGATGGATGGTGGCATGAACAAAAAGTGGGAGTGCTGAGCCAGACTCTTGATGTGCCGAACGGCTCTGCCTGTGGCCATGTGATCGTCTGCCTCCAAACACTTACAAGAATTTCCAGGCCGTTCACACCAGTAACAAAATGACATAACCCATGTAGGACGACTCCATTCATGTGCTCCTGAAGATATCACTAATTAATTGCTGTGGTTATTTGTTCAGGGTCCAGACACAGCTCAGACTTATATCTGAATTCACCATGAATGGCTAAATTCTCTCCATCTGGCATGTGAATTGAAACCTCTTTGTGATCTCTGGTCTGTGCAAAGTCAGGCAGTGTGGAGGCCTGGAAGCTTCCACACATCAGCATAGGTTCTTTCTTTGTTTGGTTCATTTTGAACTTTTATTTATTTATTTTTTTATTTTTTTGGTTTTTATGAGACAGGGTTTCTCTGTATTGTTTTCGAGGCTGTCGGTCCAGCCCAGCCTCGAACTCACAGAGATCTGCCTGCCTCTGCCTCCCGAGTGCTGGGATTAAAGGCGTGCGCCACCACCGCCCGGCTTCATTTTGAACTTTTGTCTGGACTGTTCACTGGGTTGGATTTGAGAGCTCAGAGACACCGTTATCAGAGAGGTACTTATTGGAAGCTTGGTGTGTTGGTGTCCTGGCATTCAAGAGGATGAGGCAGGAGGATCATGAGTTTGAGCTTGAGTCACATAGCAACTTTGAGAACAGCCTGATATATTTGACAAGATCCTGGAGAGGGGGGTAAATTGATAACCTGATACTCCCTCAAAAATTTTCATTACATTTATATTTATTTGTTTGCATGTGTGTCTGTGTGAAAGAGAGAGACAGATAGAAAGAGAGATCAGGGAGCAAACAACTTTATGTGCTGTTCCTCAGGCACCATCCACTTTTTGTTTTATTTTTAGACAGGGTCTTTCACTGACTAGATCCTCATCCATTGAGCTAGACTGGCTGCCACTGACCCCAGGGACCCACCTGTCTGTCCTTCCCCAGCTCTGGGATTACAAGTGAAACCATCACTCCTGTCTTTTTTTAGAATGTGGACTCTGAGAATTGAACTCAGGTCCTCATGCTTCCAGGCGAGCACGCTACTGACTAAGTCATTGTCCCAGTCACCATCCTTACTATTTCAAAATGGGTTTTATTTTTATCATGCAAGCCAAGGCCATGGGACAGGTTGAGCTAGTCTGGACAGCCATCCCTCCTAGCAGCTCTCCTAGCTCATGGAAGCAAAGTGACAGGAAGTGACAGGGACCCACCCTGACCACTCTTGTTTCAGGTCAGATGTGAATAAAGGGGATGCAGTCCCCTCTTCCTCCCATGTCTCAGGAGTGTGAGTCATGGTGTATCATCCTTCTTGGATGTATTTTTCCTTTCCAGAAGCTCAATGTCCTGCTGCTCTGGCTGAGAAACTCGGGTGCTAGATGACTGTGTCCCGAACAGGATGGTGCTCTGAGTGTCTGGTAAAGTACCTGGGAGTTTTCTTCGTTCCCAATGGGGTCGGAGGCTCAGCTGTGGGGGCCTTTCAGTGATGTTATGGTCACATACAGTAGCGATCCGGAACTTGTCAGCCCTGACAAATCACCCGCTTTTGAACTGAAGATTAAAAAAAGACAAAATCTCTCTGTGGTCGCAACCAAGATGTGATGATAGACTGAGCCCCGAGAGTCTCAGCCAGCCCACTGGCACGTTCTGAGGGTGCTGTGAAACTCAGTAAGCCGCCCATCGTCATAAGAGAACAAGCAAGTGGGGGTACGAAAGGGAGACCGGCGGGTTCTGTTTCTCACTGGCTGTGCAAACAGGCGCTTGCCGGAAGCTTCGCAGTGGGAGCAAAGTCTTGTGAAGCTGCTAAGTCTTTTCTGGGAATGATGGGGTGTGTGTGTTGGTTTTTGTTTTCTGTTTTTCCATTTTCTCATTTTCCATGACTCTTAACATATTTATGACCTGGGACTTTTTTGGGTGGAATCCTGACGGAATGTTAGTGCTATTCAGTAGTTCTGGTGGGAGTTGGGGGATGGCAATGGGGTGAATCTGAAACTTGCCCCAAATTTGCATTCTACTCATCAGTACAGATTCCATACATCTTCAACATTTGTTTAAAGAGGTACATGGCATAGGGCTGATAAGATGGCTCAGTCAGTAAAGGCGCTTGCAGCCAAGGCTGAAAATCTGGGTTCAATTCCCAAGACTCACATGATGAAAAGAAAAGAACTGACTTCTGCAAGTTGTTCCCTAATCTACACACACTTAATAGGTAGGTAGATGGATGGTATGTAGATAGATGGTAGATGATAGGTGGATAGATGGATAGATAGATACGTAGATAGATAGATACGTAGATAGGTAGGTAGATGATAGACAGATGTAAGCTTTAAAATGATATGTGTGGCATGACTGGTATTCTTGGAGTTAACCTGGCCTTTCATAGACAGATTAAATGAAATCCTTGACCTGACTCCTCACCTTTAATCATACACTTGAGTTCTGGGATGGTGGGGGGAGAACTGAAGAAATAGCATCCTGACAGGTCCAGCCAGAAGGACCATGGAACTAGAGAAGGTCAGTCTCAGGGTGACTCACCAGCACAGACCTTTCCTTCTCTAAGTTGTGTTCATTTCTGTTCTTTGAAAGAGCTCATCCAGAGGGAGGTGGATCTCTGTGGGTTTGAGGCTAGCCTGGTCTACAGAGTGAGTTCCCAGACAGTCAGGGCTACACAGAGAAACAGTGTCTTAACCCCCCATACACACACAAAAAGAAAGAAGGAAGGAAAGAAAGAAAAGAAAGAGCTCACTCAACTGTTTCAACTTCATCTGTAAGCTTTAGACCTGTCTCCGCTCATGTATCACAAATAGTCAACACCCGGCTTTGTACAGTGTTAGAACTTAGGTTGTATCTGCTAAGGCCAACATAATGACATCTGTCCCTCTTGTTTGTAGACATGATGTGTGAACTTATGGCACTAGTCATCCTATGCATCTTCAGTTGGGATACACAGTCCTCCCACTTTGTGACTCCCTGTTTCTAACTCAAGGGTGGTCAAACACTTTCATTGTGCTATCACCGGAACCAAGGGTCTTGTCCAAAACTCAAGTTATATCCAGATGAGTTCATGAGTCTGTGTTGCTTGGAAATGAATAAACAGATCAAAACACCTGCATTTGGATGTGCAGTTTTATAGTTAGATATTAGTGATCTGGGCCACTCAGATCATTTTAGTAGATCCTTGAAATATCTTTGAATATGAGTAGGCTGGGCTAGAGAGCGTAGCCAACTTGAGCACGATATAGGGTGATCCATCACCTGAAATAGTCTTGACTCATACTGACTGTCTCACTATCATTATTAATTCTCTCCAGAGTGTCCTGGCTCAGGGCATCCATCAGGGCTGTTACCACAGGACGGACAAAGCGGTGTGGAATGGATGACCAACCTCAGGCGCTTGTGTGCAGGTGCCTTGCTCTAAAACTCTCCAGGGGCTTTGCAGCCAGCACTGATCCTGGCCAGGCTGTGGTGATGAGGCATGGCTTGAACAACCCTACGTGTAAGTGACTGGGTGCTGCCGGCCTAGGGTTAACTGGCGATTACACTAGGGCCTAGGGCGGCTGGTGTCCTGGCTAGTGGGGCTCTTTGGGGCGGGGGTGGGGAACTTTGTGACTGCACTTGTTTCGCTGAGGAGGTGTGTTTGGAGTTGAGTTGCTAGAGGGGTAGGCTGGAGGGAGGCTGTGGGAAAGCCTGGGATCCGGTCTAGGTGTTTTCCCAGGGTCTACAGGGTTGCAGCCAGGCAACACGAAGAGGAAGAAGACAGACATAGGCTAGCCAGGCCACAGGGTGCTTCCCAGATGAGCCAAGATGGGACAGGAACCCAGATGTGACCAAGCTGTAGCTCCATGTGACAGTGCTGAATTCCAGTCTGACCTTTTTAGGTTCTTGGAGTTTTCAACCTCAGCTTTTCTTGAGGATTCTGGGGAAGGTGTCTACAGTTAACGAAAACTTTCTTTGAGGGTGTGTGTTAGGCTCCTAAGTTAGGGCTCTGGGATGGGCAGTGGGTCAAAGTATTTTCTACTCTGTCCTGCCTGGGCATTGGAGGTGTTAGCTAAGTGGGGTAAAAGTGCCTTTGGGTTCTTTAGGATCCCAGCTAGAGCTACAGTGACCAGAACTTGCAGGTCCACAGCTGGAGATAGATGGCTAGAGCCACCAGGCACCACCATCCTAACTCCCCTTCAGTTTCCCGCTCTGTGCATGGGGCTCTGTACACGACGCAGTGAAAAGTCAGCATGGTATGCTGATCGTCACCACCGCTGGCTCAACTGCATGTAGCTGGGGCCAGAGGAAATGGAGGCTTCGTGTCTTTTATGATCCATTGGCCAGGCAAGTAGTGGTTGGCTCTGACCTCAGCCCTCCCTCCCTGACTCCCTCTCCTCTCTTAGAGAACACTGGGGGTTCAAATCCAGGCAAGCACTCTACCACTGAGCTAGGTCCCCAGGCCTCCAGCTGTGTTTCTGTATTGCTGCATTATTGGGGGTTGGGTTTTCAAACTTCTTTAGATTGACTCAGGTACTTTTTGTTTTAGAAAAAAAATTCAGTGCAGTTTCTCTATTTCCAGGCCAAAGAATCTTATTCAGTTTTCCTGGTGTGGCTAAGGTTCTACATTTTCAGTAATGCTCTTGGTGCAGCATTATCTGGGTGTTTTCCAACCATGATTTGTGTGTGTGTGTGTGTGTGTGTGTGTGTGTGTGTGTGTGTGTGTGTGCGCGCGCGCGCTTGTATATAGACGTAGAACTTCCTTTGCTCTATCCTTCAACCCAAGCTTTCCCTCCACTTACACTTCTCGGTTGGGTCCTGGCACTGGGGTTTAAAATAGGTGAGGGTTGACACTTGCTTGATTATTTACAACTGTGTGACCCAGGAAAAGTTGCTGCGTCTCTGAACTTGAGGCAGGAGGCACTAAATAGTCCTCTGTTTCTTTGTTCCAGGCAGGTGGGGTTCTGTGTTGCAATACCCATGCTTCTTCCTGACCCTGGACCCTTCCTTCCTTACCCTTGTACAGCCTAAGACCCACCCTTCCTCTCTGGGGCTTGGAGCCTGACCTCACCTCATGGGTGACACTTAGGACAGGAAAAAGTCTTGTTGGGCAGAGCCAGCTTAGGATGGTGAGTGGGAGAAGTTCAAGACAAATGTCCAAGTATAGTCTTGAGGCACAAATGAATCCACACCACCAGACACTGAACAGGACGTGCCTGGAGGCCCTGCTCTTGGACAGCCAGCCTGTTCCGAGCTGTGAGGATGGATCTGTGTTGGTAGTGATCACAGAGCTGTAGCTTGCAGAGCTCATGGCCATGGGCAAGGCCAGCACTAAAGTTGTCACTCATTTCATCCTCATCCCAGCCATGAAGTGAGACTGGTGCCTTCTACACCATAGAGTTCCAGGCTGGGGGTCCCAGAGGCAGAGGTCACTTGGCCTTGGTTCTAACTGGTGAGTGTTGCAGCCCAGAGTGGACTCCAGGACTGACAGCATGGCAAAGCTCACTCTGCCGTACAGCCTAGTGCATATGAAGCCAGATTGGCTATAGGGCAGCTGGAGCCTCAGAATCCTTTCCCACGCCGGCTCTGAGCCCTTCACTGCAGCATCTTTCCCAGGTACTCTGGAAAACAGCTCTACCCGGGTAGCTTGCGTTTGATACAATTCAGTTAGTCACACAATTGAGTGGGGTTTTGTCTTTAGCAAATTTTCAGGACTACACAAGCCAGCAATACAACCAATTTCTTGACACTTGCATTACATACTCGGAGTCGGTCACCCTCCCTTGCTGCGTGGCTTTGCTTAGAGACCTGCTTCACCTTCCATGGCTATAGCTCTTTGTGTGGACATTTCTCACGCGTCATTCACGTCACGGGCTCTTCTGTGCTTTGCTCCTTGTTCTTGGTGCAATGTCCTGGAGGCCACCCCTGCTGTACCAGCTCTCTCTTTTCTTCCCTTCCTCTCCCCACCCTGTGCACTCCCAATACCTCCCCTTGTCCCATCTCCCTTTGCTTCCTTTTATTTAAAAAAAATAGTTTCATGTAGCCCAGGCTAGCCTTGACCTCTGTGTGGAGCCAGGGCCAACCTTAAATTCCTGATGGGTAATCCCAGCACTTCAGAGGTAGAGGCAGGAAGATCAGAACATTCGGAGCTTTTGTACCACATGACTCACGTGCTGTCGGTTATGGACATTTAGGGATTTTTAGTTTGCTTAGCAGGTTTTTTGGCTGAGGATTATGACTGCCCCATTTTGCACCTGACATTCCTGTTGGTTGACCTGACTTGAAGGGTCAGTGCCCCTTTCCAAGCCCACTCCATGACCTCCTAAAGCCCTAAAGCATCCTCCCTCTCCTGCCCTTTCCAGCAACAATCCAGACAGATGCTTTCCCATTTGTCTTTGGGAGTCTGCTCTCATCCCTCCAACTTCTCTGCAAAGGGATTGCCGCCAGCCAGCTAGCCAGTCAGCCAGCTGTGGAAATCAATTTAAATTGAATAGTGGCTTGCTCTCTCCCAAGAGGCAAAGTAATTTTCTGCAGCTGGAAGGAGGACAATGATGGGTGGTTTGGACTTGACCTGGCTCCTCCAGGAAGGAGAGCTGGGAGTGCGCAGAACTGCACTGTCTTGGGTGTTAATTAAAAATGGCTCTCGGGTGTGAGAGACTGGATGGAAGCAAGCCGCCACGGGGCCCAGAGCCTGCACTTTCTATTCTCTGCTACCCCTTCCGCACTGTCAGCAAGACTGTGCGTGCTGTTCAGAGCATTCGGTGCTAGTAGTGTGGCCCCTGGGGCGTCCACCTTCTAGATTTGCAGCCCCTGTGTCCTGTCCTGTCCTGGGCTCGGGACATGGTCAGGGTCCCACGAGAGTGTACCACTCGGCTCCCTGTACGTACGTGTGTGGGTGCTGTGGGGTCGATGGAAGACAAGGCTATCTGTCTCCCTGTTTAGAAGGCCAGCACGGGGAAGATGAGGTGGGAATCAAGGACAGGGACCTGCCCAGAGCTACCCCTGCATGGTATCTGGCCGCAGGAGCAGATGGGAATAGAAATGTTAGGTGTGAAGCCTCTGACCTGCATGTCTGCTTATTCAGAGTGACTTCTAGGATTTAAAGCACTCATCTCTCTTTGGGTTGGGGGGCATTAGATGGGTTCAGCTGCACCTGCTGGCATCCTAGCTCTGTCACTTATCTATGGGACCCTGGTCCTTCACTCTACTGCATCTTGGTGTCCGCACCTCCCATGAGTGTGTTCTAGGTCTTGTTAGGCACAGGGAAGTGCCCTGGAATGTGGCTTCCCTGTGACCTATGAGGCATACAACCCTCCATTTCTCCAGTTCCTTTCAAGGTCCCAGGAAGGGGTTACCTCCGTTGCCCACAGCTTTCTGTTCAAGCTCTCGGAGTAGATGTGCTTACTGTTTGATTCCCTCCAGAGTCGAAACATTCATTTTAGCTGGTGTTCATAAATCAAATCTCCAAGTGTTCAGGAAGCCAGTTTACAGTCTCTATGATGAGGCTGTGTAGAGCTGGACCGGAAATAGCTTTTGAGGACCTGGAAAGGGGATCTAATGACCTTCCTAACCTAGCTGTGCTTTTAAGACGCCAAGAAGAGCAATCGACTCTGCTAAAAATAAGTGATTCCGTTTAATGGAGATACCTGCTAGCATGGGCTGTGACATGCTACCAGCCTGCTTCATATAGAGAATGAGACAGTAATCACAGCTATGTCCTCTTTTATTCATTTAAAAAATAGCTTTCATTAAATTTTTTCTTTGGCAAATTCACACACGTGTATAATATATTCTGAGTCCTCTCATCTCACTCTCTCTTATCTCTCCCAAATCCCTGTCAAGACCCCTCCTCCCTACAAATCCCTTTCCTGAATTTGTGTCTTTTTGTCTGGTTTTGTGACTCACTGAGTTTAAGCAGGGAAGTCTGTGTGACCATGGTTTTGGAATTGTCCACAGGAGCCTGGTTACATCACATATTTCAACTTGTAACTTAACTGATTTGAATTCTTAACCTACGAAATAGTAAATATATACTATATGGATAGATTGCATTTTAATTTATAGAATATTGGCTTCAGAGGTTTACTTACGAAAATGAAAGTTTCTGTTTAAACTGGTAGCGTTTAATGGACACCCATTGTGGCCGGGTGCGGTACTTGCTGTGCCTTTTGTTTGTGTAAAGCAGGGTCTCATGTAGCCCAGGCTGGCCCTAAATTCTGTATGTGGCTGGCGGGACCTCAGCCTTTGACCTTCTTACCTGCTCCCATGTGTCCTCACACCTGCTGTATGTGTTGCTGTCTGAACCCAGGGCCTGCGGCCTGCTAGACAGACACGGCACCGGCTGGGCCACATCCCCAGCTCACGCAGTGTTTGACTTCATAGACTGCACCAATCTTGTGGAGTAACCCTCTCTGCCCCATCTCACAGCCAGGAGACAAGGCTGAGAAAGAGAAAGTGACACACCTAGGTCATACACCCAAGGTCATGTGGCTAGGAGGAGAAGCAGCCACCTGACGTCTC